ATCTTTTGTTTTTATGAACCCGAATGTATGATTTATGGTGACCTATTCTGTATGATTTCTGGCTGAATTTCAATGTTCCTATTTTGTTTTTATGGTGTCCTTTGTTTATGATGGTTTGTGTTTCATATGTTACAAACATATTTAAAAGACAAACATGTTCACATCTTTTAGACATTCATCCCCATACATTAAATAACATGAACATTAACAGAACCATACATCCCCAGCCCAACCAAGTTCAAAGCAACCAAATAACTAATAACAGAATTTCCCAAAACAACCATATTTCCCAACTCCAGCCAAGTTCAAAACAACAAAATAACCAACAACAGAATTTCCCAGAACAACCATATTTCCCAACTCCAGCCAAGTTCAAAACAACATAATAACCAACAACAGAATTTCCCAAAACAACCATATTTCCCAACTTCAGCCAAGTTCAAAACAACAAAATAACCAACAACAGAATTTCTCAAAACAACCAAACATCTCCAGTGTTTTCCCTAAACCAAAAAACAAAACCAAAACAGATATATTGTTCTAAACACATCAGTGTCCATAGTTCCCAAGCTAAAACAACAAATCAGATATTTTTTCTCTTCTTTTTTCCCTTCTCCAAATTGGCAGGTCTCTTCATCTTATCTAGGGTGGCATGCAACTGACTTAATGTCACAAATTTTCTTCCCCCTTCAATAGGTCCAGATGGCCTTGTTGTTTTTTGGGCTTGTAGTTGATCCCACATTGATGGAGGATGTTGAAGTGGCCTTTTAGCATATGATCCCACATTGTCAACCTGAAATATTACAATTATTAAAAAAAAAAAAAAGAGTTAAAATTAAGTAAATGGAGTAAATATATTGAAGGATTATAGTGCATATTTCACCTGAGAGGTTTGAGTAGGTTCAACTTGTGTGACTTGACTGCAAAAATCTGGTTACTATCATTAACATTTGTAGGAACTTCATTGCCACCCTCAAATTGACTATGAACAACCTCTGTTTGGACTTCATTGGCATTCTCAGATTGAGTGTGACTATGAACAACCTCTGTTTGGACTTCATTGGCATTCTCAGATTGAGTGTCACCAACCCCTGTTGGGACTCCACTGCCACTCTCACTTTGAGGCTGAGAACAGTACCTTCTATTGTGGCCTTTTCCACCACATTTACCACATGTCACAGCACTATACTATCTTCTTATCTTGTGTGGATCATTGCTCCTGACTGCCCTTTTTGGTTTTTTTTTGTTCTTATTCCTGGCCTCATCAACTTCTGGCCTCCTTAATGTTGAAGGTCTCCTAGGATTTCTCCATTCTACAGGGGGTTCAGGGGGAATGAAATCTGAAATTGGCCACTGATCCCTTCCATTAATAGGCTTCAAGATGTGTTCATACACTTTGTGGTAAGTCTGAACATAATAGCAACTGTCAACAAATGTATCCAGGTCTAGACCTCCACAGTGAATTGCAGAAAGTGCATGAACACATGGGATTCCTGTAAGATCCTATTTTCTGCAACCACATGCTCTCTGACTCAAGTCCACTGTGAACTGGCTCCCATCACTACATGAAATCTGATAATGAACATCACTGGCCTTCACAAGAATGCAATCAGGTACCTTGGACAAATTGTTTTGAATAATTTCTTGTATCCTAGGACATACAACTTTGTTTCTCCACTTTCTAATAGCCCTCTCCCAGTTTTCTCTTCTCTTCTCCATCAGGTACTTGTGCATCCATTCAAGCATGGCTAAAATTGGCTTATCTCTAGCCTCCAAAATGTTACTGTTAAATGTTTCACAAGAATTATTGAGGAGCATATCTGACTTAGGTCTGGTAGAAAAGTGTGATTTGCTCCACTGTGAAGGAGGTTTGTCCAATTGCTGGAACACGCCGACGAGGCGGTCCTACCCACGGATCGATATCGGATACCAAACATGTACATACATGATTTCGAATAAACCTAAGCATGCTCCTAAAGGACGAACAGAGATATACCTTTCTTCAAGGCTTCGATTCGATCTGAGCGATCTTCTAGTCTGTGTCCCGACCACGTTTGGACGCCGGATGGACGACGATCCTCCAAACGGTTGAAAGGAGCGGATTGCCTTTGTTCTTCTCTGAACCCCTCACGTTTCCTTCTTCCTTCTCCTACGTTGGTGTGGTGGCTGAAGACGTGAATTGATCTCTTAGGGTTTCAGAACGTGGGCTTATCCTTCCTTTTATAGAGTCCTTGGGCCAGACTAGGGATCTCTTAGAAGGTATAGGGTTTGGGCTCCCTACAGGCCCAAATTCTTATGTTCAGCCCAGAACACAATTTGGCCTGTAAATATTAATTCATTCCACTAGAGAATTAATATTGCACTCCCGTCCTATCCCGAAATGAATCAGGGCTTCTATTAGACTCAATATAATTCCCCGTGTTTAAGATATCGCACGTCCATTAATTATTAAAGCTTCTGACTGCTTTAATTAATTAATATCTTTTATTCCTTAAGTAGTACCACTCAACCTTATTATCGTACGGATAAAATCCACCTGCAAGGTTTATACGATAATCCTTATGAGTTCCTTAAGGGGACGTCATCAACCTGGATGTCCAGGACACGGTGCCCTAATGCCAATAAATAGATATCATGCAGATAATGTTGTTACCCAAGATACAGAGCATATTGAACCAATACTTGGCTCTCACCCATGGTAAATCAAAGTAACAAGCAAACATCCCACATATTTAAGTATCACAATTAGGGTTAAGAATTAGTAGAGTCACCGAGACCTAGGTTCTTCATGATAGTCAGAACTGAAGAACACGTCTCAACTGTGATCCATTCAATGCGACGCAGCGCACTAGTATAAACCAATAGCCAAGACAAGCTATATCCAGTTTATACTACAACCTAAACCGATAGTCATGTCCATAACTATCTCAGTTGTGAATACCATTTATATCTTATAAGGGACCGACAATGTAATCTTCTGTGTGACTACTAACGCACCACATTGTCTACAATATAAGATAATTGGACATTTAGCATACAAGCAATCATAAAGAATACAACAATGTGAAAACATTTATTTCAGTCAAATGGGAAATCGAGTAAATACAATCCAAAAGCTCACATAAAAGTTTGCTTTACTGTATACCCCAACAATAATAACCACTGATGGGCATCAGGGTCTAATTCTTCTAATGCAGCCATTGCCCTTTGGAAGTCATTCACAGTTGCAGCTTTGGCAGCCCTCCACACAACCACTTTATAAGCATGTCCATTATATCCAGCAGTCTTCATGTTATTGTGCATATGCCTAACATAAAACCTGAAATATTACCATTATAAAAGAAATGTTAAAATTCAGTCAATGAAGTAAATATGTTGAAAGAATATAGTACATATTTCACATGTGTTCAGCATTAGGAAAGACCTCATTACAAGCTTGGATGAGACCTTTTTGCTTGTCAGACATAAAAGTCCACTCATAGTCATTCTGAATTTCCAAATCACTCTTCAATAATCTTAGAAACCAACCCCAAGTATCCCCTGTCTCTGACTTAACAACAACATAACAAAGTGGATATAGGTTGTTATTGGGGTCAAGACCAACTGCAGTTAGCAATATTCCTTTGTGTGGCCCTTTCAGATGACACCCATCAATCCCAAGTATTGGTCTACAACCAGCTAAAAGGCCCATTTTCAGAGCTGAGAAACAAATGTACATCCTGTCAAATGTGTTGCTTGCTTGATCAACACCAATTATCACTGTGGAGCCTGGGTTGGACCTCCTCACTTCATTGGCAAATGACCAAAGAAACTTGTACTGATCATTGGAGCCTCCTTCTAGCTGTTGCAGGGCCAACTTCTTAGCTCTCCAAGCTTGATAAGAGGAGACATTGACTCTGAGAGACTGGACACAATCTACTCTGAACCCTTTAGGCTTCCTGTTTGGATCAGCTACAAACCGGTGAAGGTACTTCCCAGTTAGCCATGTTGACTTCAAAATCTTGACATTCATTGTAGTGGGGCATGTGTGAGTTGGGAAATACTCTCTGACTTTGAAGGTATTTGTATCCTTCATCTTCACTGCATGTAACTTCCACTTACATTCATGGTCAACACACTTGGCATGAACTCTTCTTAAATCATTTTTCATGATTTTCACATCTCTGTGTTGCCTGATGGCATCAGATTGCACTGCCACTCTGATCTCTTTCTTGTTGCTAAAAATCATCCCCAATTTTAGGGTTGGGGCATACTGTTGTGTTGTGTTGAAGACAAGAGCAAAACCTTCACTTGAATCTTCATCTGAGTCTCTTGCACTCTGGTAGTCATCTTCACTCTCAATCACATTTGGATCTCCCATTTCATCATCCTCTGAATCTAGTACATAGTCTTGTGTCCCATTTCCTATCCATTCAGCTTGAATATCCACATTTGAAAAGAAAACATGGTCATCATGCTCACCCTCTGAAGAATCAGAAGTAAATTTATAGTCTTCATCCTCACTCCCATCACTTTCCACATTTTGATGTTCACCACCTTCATTAACCTCATTTTCTGTTGTATCTTTAAGAACATCATCATCATGAGGACTCTGAGTCTCCTCTGCAATGCCATCATTCTCCACAGATTCATCTTCTCCAAATTCCATAGACACCCAGTTTGCCATTTCTTCGATAGCATCATTATCTGCTTCAATTGAACCACCTTCACAAGATTCATTATCTGCTTCAAGCTCAACATTTGCATCGAACAGATTGTCATCCTCCTCATTTTTTGAAGAATCAGAAAGAAAGTTGTAGTCTTCATCCTCACTCCCATCACTTTCCACATCCTGAGTTTCATTCACATTCTGAGTTTCATTAGCTTCTTTCTGGTTAATATCTGCATCTTTCAAGTTAATCCCTCCCTGTGACTCAGATGAACTATCATGACTTTCACAATCTTGTGGATCATCATCATCAAAATAAATAGTTAACTCTCTTTGGCTCTGGGTAGACAAT